GATAAGTGGACTCTAAAGCTATGGGAAATCACAAGGGAGTAAGAGTTCATAACACAAACATTCAAACTAGACACAGTGGCATATACCTCTAATCCCAGCACGGGGAGCCAAAGCCAGGAAGGTCACAAATTTGGGTCCTTTCTGGGTAATTTGGCAAGATTCTATCTCAAAATTTAACAGATAAATAAATAAAAGGGCTGGAGATATAAGTCAGTAGTAGAGTGTCCCTGGGTTTGATTTCTAGTACTACAAAAAGAAAAAATAATGTGAAGTCTGATTATTAAGTCACACAAGACACAGTGCAAAGAGCAGTAAAAGTGTTTTTAAAACAGTCTGGAAATGGGCTGAGGATTTAGCTTAGTGGTTCCACTGCCTGTCTCACAAGCACAAGGTCCTGAGTTCAAGCCTCAACACCAAGAAAAAAAAAAAAAAAGCCTGAAAATGAACAACCAGAGATGAAAACCAAGTGTGTGGTTCTAAAATTCCAAGTGAAGAAAGTGTATCAAGAGATATAATTTGTGCCCAATTTTGCTGATAGAATGAGACTGAAACTAACCACTAAATTTAGCAGCATAGAAGTTATTCATGATTTTAAGAAAAGCATTTGAGTGGAATAGTGGTGCGAAATCTAATTGGAGCAGGTTTAAGAAAGACTGGAAAGAGAAAATTCTGAGATAACAGCCTACTTTTTCAACAAGTTTGGATTAAAATGAAGGAGAGAAATAAGATGGTTGCTGGGGAGAAGTGAGACTGCTAAATATATCTGCCGCAGAGTCACATGTTGAAAACTAGTACTCAATGTGATGGTGTTAGGGAGTGGATCCTTTGACAGGTTATGAGGACTCTGCAACATATCCCAGCACATCACAGGATAAACATGCTTACTTACAAAAGAGGGTTCAGTAAGCTCAATGTGAGCACTCCATGAGGGGTTAGCTGTTTATGAAGCTGAGAGGGAGCCCTCGTCACACAGAATCTGTGGGTGTTTTGAACTCAGATTTCTAGTCTCCAGAATGGTGAGGAGTCAGTTTCTGCAGTGTGTAGGCTACAAAGCTTATGGTATGTTGTTATAGTGGCCCCAAAACAAGTCCCTAAAGAGCTTTTTAATTTTTTTTTTAAAGAGAACAAACTCGATCCTTGATGGGGAAGATCGAGTAAAGACGAAAGCAATGATGTTACTCACAGGAGACAGGTGTTACTAGACTTAGGTTTACATGTGACAGGAATAGATGTAATCTAGTAACTAAGGGTGTAGGCTCCTCCGCTAGGAGCACAGCTTTTCATCCCATACTGAAGATAAACAAAATGGGTGCTGATTGCAGGTAGGTGCGTGGATGCATGGTGAGGAGTAGGGATGTGTGGAAGTTTTTTGATTGTTTATTTTCTCGGGGCAATTAAAAACACTTTCATCAGCTGGGGACGGGAATGACTAAGCAGGTAATCAATGATTGTAAATGTTTTATAAGTGCAACAACCCAGTCTATTCTAGGGATGCTTTCTACATATTTTCAAATTAATAATATTAGTTATACTATTCAATTTATGTATTATTTTAAAATCTCTTACATTTAATTCTGAGACAGATATATTGAATTTCCTCACAGAACTGTATTTACCAAGTTCTTAAATTTGTATGTCTTTGCACTGTTTTTAGCAGAATTGCTATTATTATATTCTTTATAAATTGTGCCTTTTATCAGTAAATAAAATCCATGTCATTCTTTTGTTTTTAACATTCATTAGTTAAGGTTTCTGGTCTTTTTTGATTGCCTGTATCTTTTTTTTTAAAATCAGACTCTTACAGAGGGCAGAGGTAAGGGGAAAAAAATGAGAATCAAGACTTGCCATGTAAAGGTACATGATCCCAACAATGAATGTAACTGTACTGTATCCCTAAATGTACCAATAAACTCAAAAAAAAAAAATCAGACTCTTACAGCGGGCAGAGGTAAGGGGAAAAAAATGAGAATCAAGACTTGCCATGTAAAGGTACATGATCCCAACAATGAATGTAACTGTACTGTATCCCTAAATGTACCAATAAACTCAAAAAAAAAAAATCAGACTCTTACATATTTTTTAAACAAGATAAGGCTAGATTTTAGTGTTTGATTCAGGTGTTTCTCCCTTTGCATAGAGCTCAATCCTTTTACATTTAGAACAATGACTAATGATTTATTTTTACTAATAATTTATTACATTATTTATATATACTACTTTAGCTTATTTTTACATCAAGGGTTTCTCTGTTTCCTTTTCCATAATTTTTTTGTGGGGTATCTGTTTTTGGTTCATTTCTTTATAATACTTTCTTAAATTGTCTCCATAGATTAGGGAGAACAGAGTGATGTGGACTCTCTGTCCCAACAAATCTTTAAATAGCTTTCACCATGACAGGTGATTTTATTTTGGCTGATGGATTGGAACCCATGTAGTTTACTAGTCTATGTTGCTATTGAACATGTCCCTAACTTCCAACATTACTAAAGAGAAGTCCAATGTCATTTTTATTTTTATATAACTTACCCTTTTTGACTGAAAATTAATGAGTTTTCTTTTTAATGTATTTTTATATCTGGTATTTCTTTACTCATTAGTAGATGGAGATGTAGTACATCTGCAGATACAGGCCGTATTTAATTAACTTCAGAAAGTCTTGTTTATGCTATGTTTGATACTACTTTTTGTTATTCATATTATCCTCTACCCTACAGCATTTATATTTCCTCAGATGAATATTTTATTTTTCTGACAAATGCATCCTCTTAGGTTTTTTTTTTCTTTTTTGCAAAATCATTGAGATTTAGGTCTGCTTAATGGGTATTTTAAGTGATAGCAGTTCCACATTTGGGAGGAAAACAAAGAGCTGTCCACTACCTCTCTCAGGCATTGAATAGGAGCACAAAGCTGCCCGCTGTCCTACAAAAGCATCTGAATAACTTTCTTGTCCTCTAGGCTCACTAATCTCTCAAACTCTATGCAGGGACAGTTGACAGTTGCCCTACATATTCTGCTTGGTCTCACAGAAGTTAAGGAACCCCAATTTGTGCAGATCTCCTAAGGGGCCAACAGATCTGAGTCCCAAGCTCTTTCCAATTAGGATTTAAGATCTAAGTTCTCATGCTATTTTTCATGTTTATGTCCAGTCCACAGGATGGTGAGCAATTTCACACCAGGTTTGTTCAGGCCTAGTTTAAGAGATACTGACAGCTATGATCAGGGAATGGAGGAGCTCATTCAAGTAGCCTTTTCTTTGGATCTCTCCCACATTCCACACGTCTTTGACGGTCTCGGTCCTTTTGTGTGATGGATTTTACCAAATGGGAGACCCATTTATATTTATGTTAATATTAAAAGTCCTGATTTTTCCAAATTTCAACAATCTCAGCATAAAGATATTATTAATTGTCTGCGGCAGACTTTAAGGATTATTCTTAATTAGAATTCACTTTGAAACAAAATCTGAGGTTCTACTTTGCTCTTAAAATGAGTTTTAAAAACTGAAAGCCCAGTTACAATTCTCATATTCTCTGATACAAAATAACATAGTCTCAAAGCACACTATTTGAGAAGATGAAAATATAAGTCAAGTTGCTAATACTTAATGCCTTTCTGTGCCAGAAATATCAAAATTAAATTATATGGATTATCCATGTTATTCTTTAATAATGACCACTGTGGGTTGGAAGCAGAACATAGGACAGTCCAACTCCAGTGTTCATTTGTACTGGTGAATGTGCATGCAGGACTTTACCAGCTGTATCCAATTAATAAGACTGAATTCATCTTATAGTTGAGAAGACTGAGGTAAAAGGTTAAATTACTTGTCTACATCAACAAATGGATGACCCCCCCCAAAAAAAAGGTTATGAAGTAAGTTTTGTCAGACAAGACCTCAATTGTTAAAATACTAAGTCATATTGTCTCTGAATATTCAAGCCAGGAAAAGGCCCATAAGTAATTATTTTTCAAATGTGGCTTCAGAGTCCAAGAAATGCAAGTGTTTATTTTGTGATGGGCCCAGGCAGACTCTGAGTTATTCACCTCCATTAAACGTTCAAGTGTAAATATATAGTTAATACTTAGAGTGCTTCCTACGTGCCAGGGACCTGCTTAAGCAATTCAGTTATACCAACTTATTTAATTCTAACATATATGTGAAAGTTATTGTTATTATGCTATTACTGACATTGTTATTGCTATTAACCTATCACAGATTGTTATTAAGTAATGCAGCCAAGGTCATATCAATATTAAGTGGTGTATTCAGATTAGAATCCAAAGAATCTTTTGCTTTTAACCTTCCAAAGTTTCCTTGCCTAATATAATAACACATTAGAATACTATTGATACTGCACAAGTTTGAGGGAGAGGGCCTAAGGAATCAGAAACATTTTCCTAATATAACACACTCAACTACATAAAAGAACTGCAAGCACTTCAAACTCTTCCACTGTCTCAGGACACAAGGAGGGGCCCCTTCTAAAGGTTCACCTCAGTCCTACCTGGACTCCAATCTTGAGTTTAGGAGCAATGCTAGCTAGGACCAGGCCTACTGGTGTGCCCATTCTGCCAAGGGCACGGGACGGCAAGCCCAATCACCCTTCCCCAAGCAAAGGGGACCCTACAAAGTTTTTTCTCGGGTTCTGGCTGAGAAAGTCCATATTTGTTGTCTATCAGGGCATCAGAATTCTCTGAAGGCAGTCCCTGCCATCTCAGCCACGACCCCTTTCCCAGACCGGTAAGCACCTAGAACTTTTAAGTACTCTTTTACTATAATAATTTGTTTTGTTTGTTATTTTTGTTTTTTAATTTAAACGTCTCCATAGTCTTCTACCACCTCTTACCGAGATGACAAGCTCCATCCTTGGTGTTGAGGCTCGAGGTCACTGCCCTCCGGCACAGGAAGCTAGCGAGGACATCTGGCCAATCAGGAGCCACGTCCTACTGCGCTCCCCTTTCCCATTGGGCTCCCTTCCCTCTCCAAGGAAACACTGCTTAGAGTCTTCCGTTTCAGCGCGGAGAGGCAGTGGGCGTTGTTTGTGTGGGCTCAGTGTTTCGCTGCTTCCGTTGTCCACTCAGAGACTCCGTAAGTGATGCAGACTCTTGAGAAGACCGAGCGAGAAGCACACCAGGGCGGGAAGAGGTGTGGCTCAAGTAAGAGCAGCGACAATTGAGTTAGAGTCAGAGAAGCAATTTGGGTTTAGAAATCCCAGAAGTTGTTGGAGGTGGGTCCCTCACAGCTGCGCTCCCGCCCACCTGAAGGCCGGAAAAGAGGAAGGAGGGAGGAGGGCTGGGGCAGTTTGAATCGCAGGTTCCGGATGTTTGGTTGGGAGTTGTTTGGTCAGACCAAGACCTGGATGCTCACGGGAGGCCGCGTGGGTGGATCTAGGCTGCAGGAGCAGAGGCTGCACGGAGTCCTGACCCTGATCCTGCTCCTTGACCACCATTCCTGTGAGTGCATCCTGTGCTGCATCCTGCTAGCCTATGGTATGAACTGACCAGCCCTGCAACTTGGCTTTCACAATTTTTCCCCCTGTAGGGAAGGGGAGCTTTTAATTAATTGCTTATTTTTTTTTCCCAAGACCTACCAGTGATCAGCAAGGGACAGACCCAGGATGGCAAAGGCCCATGTTCCCACTTTATGGGTGAGAAAACTGAGGCCTGAAAAGGTGTAGAAGTTTGGTCTTTAAAGTTCTACAAGTGGTTGATAGCAGCAGAGATGAGGCTGTGCAGGTCCTGAGATCTTTCTCCAGAAATCCAGGTTACCACAGTGATAGCAAATCCAGTATTTGTTGTAAGTAGGGAAGGGCAATAGAATTATTTTCTCCTTAAATTTATTCAACAAAAATATGAGAAAAACTCTTAAGAACTGAAAGAAGCCACTTAAATTGCTATTTATATTTATATTGACATTGTCATTAATACTCTATATAAATGAACTATATAATCATAAATTAATAAAATTAATAAAACCTTGGAGTCAGGATTGGATTACATAGAAAAAATCTGAATCCTTAGAAGAGCTAAACAGAAATCAAATTCTGTGTTTTCATGTCTTAGAGTTGTATCCCTTCAAGTTTCCAGAGGGCCAGAAATAAGTTACAAAGCACCAGTGCATATAGCTCTCCTATCTGATTGTTGAAGGGGAGCAGGAATGTTCCTGGACTCTTTTTGACCTCTTTCTAAGAGATGTGGAGTCAGACTAAGCGTGTGAGAATTTTAGTGTGTTTGGGAATTGAAAGCCATGCTTATTTTTTTTTCTTTCTTTCTTATCGTTTAATTCAGGTGGCTCAGTACTCTACCCCTCCCCAAAAGAGCACAAAGGAGAAAGAGACCTACACTCTTCCTGTCAGTCTGATCTGTGGTGAGCAGGATTGTCTTTTTTCATTTATAAGATAGCCTGACTTCTCTATCTGTAGGGAGGTAGTGGAAGTGGCAGTGAAGAGCGTCTTTTCCTAACGTTTACTTATTTAGTGTCTCAAGTCTACAATGCCTATAATTCCTACTGTTTTGGGTGTTCTGAGGTAAATTTAAGGATGTCTCCACATGGAGTAATAAAGCATATGAGAGTAATAATTTCTAAAGTTATCCACGTTAAACAATGTACCTGTGTAGTGGAGTGCTTGCTTAGCACGTGCAATAACCTGGATTTGATTCCTAGCATTGCAAAAAAAAAAAAAAAAACAATTTGAGGAGACTAGTTACATGGAAGTGTAAGGACAAATGTTTAAAGTGAAGCCACTTTCTGGAGGTGTATTTGTATTTAATGCCTTAGTTGTTCTTGTGCACTATCAAGAGTCTATCTCACATCAACCAAAGGCAGCTGTTATTGACATTTGGGTATATTTACTTGTAATCTTTCCTCTAATACTTAATTACATACATACTTACTAATCTGAATTAGCACTAATAGGTATGTATTCATGCATACATATACTCTATGTCCAAATACATGCATAGATTTATCTAAAACATGTATGTATAGATATTTAATACATATATATAATAATTGTGAAAAATAGGTCACGAGAGCAGGTATTATTCCCAATATACAGAACTGTACCTTGTATGTAGTAAGCATTCAGTAAATATTTGTTAAATATGAGTGATTGTTATTTGTATAATTTTTTCCATTTTACATATAATGAGCACTTTTCCAACTATTTTTTGGTAGCATGAGTTTTTAGGGCTAATTATGTCCCATTCTAGGTACATACCTTTCTTCATTTAAGTTTTATTAGGGAAAATTTAAGTATTTCCCAATATTTTACTATTATAAACAACTTCTAGTAAATATTCTTATACATAATTTATGAAGTATGTGTTGTTTTAATTTCTCAAGGTATACTCTGAGAAATAGAAAAAGACTCACTGGATATAGACATATTTTGGGATTTTGAAAAACTTAAGTTCTTTTGGGGAAATAGTACATGAACTTCAACTCCTTTGACAATTCAATGAAATATCTGATCTTGTTGAATCTTTACTAGCATTTATTTTAAAAAATAATTTGCCTTCTTTTGATCTTATTTATTCTTTAGTAAGTTTGACTTTTTTTTAACCTATACTCATTGACTATCTGCATTCTTTTTTGATGAAATGCCTATTGATACACATCACCTTTTTTCTATTAAACTTTTAGTTTCCATTTGACAGTAGGCACTCTTTTATGTAAAAGATGTAAACCATTTGTTGTATTCTGTAAATATCTTTCTGAGTTTGCCACTTGCCTTATACTTTTAAGGGCTTTTTTGTTTATATATTTTTAAAATTTATGTAAAACAAAATATTTCTTGCTTCACCATCAAATCTAATACATTTACTTTAACTTTTCCTCATTTTTTTATAGTTTTGAGTGTCTTAAAAAAGCTAAATTCCTAAATTCAAATTTATTTTGATGTGGTAAATGACAGAATGTAACATGTAACATTCTTTTTTCTTCTTAGTTATTGATTTTTCTAGTAACATTGATTTTCTCCTTTGATTATAGTGTTTTCATATGTAAAATTACTAAAATTTTTTACACCTACATATATGTATGTGTAGATCACTTTTGGAGCTGCCTTGTTCCCTGGATTCCTGCCCTTTTCCCTGTTCCCTGCCCTTATGAAAGTATTTTTATTGTTGCACTTTATATGTAGTATATTTCATGGGCAACAAAGGGAAATTTAGCCTTTCTTTTTCACTCAGTGAGGGTGAAGAAAAAAAAGAAAACAGGTCATATGTTGGAAATATTACACTAACATTATAATGATTTCTGTTTTGGAAAAAATGAAAAGTTGCATTTAATAAATTTATGATATTGAATATACTAACAGTATTTTTTATCAGTATAGACTTGGTCAAAATATAAGCTCAGGTATCAAGTTTGTTACCTAAACTTGTTTCATGTCTACCACTTCTTGGTTGTAAGAACTAGATAGCGTTATTTAGGCAGATTCTCATTTTTAAAATGAGAAATAATGCCTACTGTGTATGGCTATAAAGTTTAAATAAGATTATAAATGCAAAAAAATACTTAGCAAAATACTAAATTTCTCCTTATGAAAAGAACTCAGTAGCAGTGATCACTGTTATTATTTAAAATTTAAACCACATCTGATATAACTTTTTAGTCACTAAGCCATAAAAATTGATGTAGAAAATCTAGCTTTCCCCCCTAAAATTTATATCCTTCTGTCTCAACATTATTAGTGGAATAAGCCAACTTTTCCTCAAAAATTTGCTATCACCGTTAGCATGTTTAAAATTCACTGTGTACTTGGGTTCATTTCTGTGTTTCTAGCCTTTTCTGTTCATTTTCTCCAGTCCTATGTCATACCCATGGAATATTTACAGGGGCCTTATTAAAGAATAATATACTATTTGTTATGATTTGTATTTAGATGTTCCCCCAAAGCCTCATAACCTGGATGGAAAGAAAGAGGCTGCTTGGTGCTTGCTGCCTCCTGCCTGCTCTGCCATGGATTGTTTCTCTGTGATGCCCTTCCACCAGGTAACTGCAGAGTGAAACCTTTACAAACCATGAGACAAAATAAACCTTTCCTCTTTTAACCTGTGGTTGTCAAATATTGTCTCAACAACAAGAAGAGTAACTAAGACACCAATAGATTAGTCTCCTCTTTTTATTACTGTTTCACTATTTTTTTTCTAATAAAAGTCCTTAGAAATCAGTTTGTCAGATCTTTTCCACTCTCATATCAAAATGTAGTTAATATCTTACTTGAATCACATTGAAAATAGAGATAAGTTTAGTGAGAGCAAAATTTTATGTATTCTTCCTACCTAAGATTCTGCAGTTCTTCCTGCTTTCTCAATCCTTTTAGTTCCTCAAATTCTAAAACTATTAAGGGAATAGAATTATTATGAGAAAATGAAAAAATGGAAACAAAAGTCTTTGTAAATATGGAGGGATGGAGGGGTTAAAGGGAGGGCAGGGAAATGGGGGAAAAATAAGAACCAAGATAGATTATATAAAGGTGGAAATTTCTAATGCTGAATGCCATTATATTTTATACCTAAAATGTACCAATAAAATTAATTTTAAAAATTCTGAAACTATATAGGCTTTAGGTATTTTTAAGAATTTATATTTCATTGCTATTGCAAATATCATTTACAAACAATTTGCAGTGGTTATATGTCTCTACTCATTATTAGATTTTATGTTAATTTTAGTTTTATTGTGATGTATTACATATATGTAAATGAATATATGAAAATATGTACAATTTAAAATACTGTAATAACATGGATATTCCTCCCCCATCATTTTGGGGGGGCAACCACTATATTAAATGTCACATTAATTTCTTAGCTTTTTTCCTATGGTTTTGACTTACTGGGTCTGCATTTCCAAAACAGACTTTTTTCATATTTTTGAATACTGTACAAATGGAATCACTAAATATATTCCTATATAAATGGCTTCTTTTGCATGTTAGGTGTCTTATGATGCATTCATGTTGATTTCCATAGCTGTAGATCATTTTCACTACTCTGTACTATTTCATAGTATGAATAATTTCTAGTGTTGTTGAGCCTTTTGGATTATTTGTAGCTTTTAAGTATTATAGCAATTTTTATACTCTAAATGTTATAGTACATGTTATCTGGTGTATCTGTGTAAGCTTTCAAGTAGGTAGCCTTAATGGTAGAATTTTATGGACATTCATTTATCTTAAAACTGCTAATAGTTTTCAGCTGATTTTCTTGGTTTTTCCCAAATATTCAGTCATACCTTTTACAGATAATCTTGCCTCTAACTGCATTGGCATGTACATTCACATCATTGTTTTAAAATACTGGGTTTATCTTTGTTAAGAAAAAAAAGTGTATGAATAGAAAAAGGTCAAAAAGAACATAGTGAAAACTGTAGTAATTATTTAGGGAAGTGGTTTCAATTTTTACGTGTTACAGTATTTAGAAATTTTATGAATTTATTTTTAGTAAGACAAATTAGACTCTTACTAGTATGTTTTCAAGGAAATTCTTAAATCTTTATTAAAATAACAAAGCTAAAAACCACAGATTGTTGTATTTTTACTGTACAGTGGACCCTCAAGTTATGACTGGCCTAACACACAAATAACTTGGGTTAATTAGGTTAATGGAAGAGTCATCTGCTTCTTGTTTTCTATATGTGTACCCAGGCAATCATCCAGAGCTCAGCTGTGTTGACTTGAATTATAACCAGCCCTTGGGAACCAATCAAGTTCATGAGGCAAGGGTCCACTGTACCTTTTGGTGATATGAAATACTAGTGAATTCACTTATTTTCCATACAGGTGCCAACTTTTATAGTTTTCCTGTAATCTGGGTTTCTGAGCATGCTACATTTCTCATTTTATTTATAGGTTAATTTTATGTGTAAAATAGATTTATTATATTTGTTTGAAATTTATTTTTATAAGTATTTAAACTACTACATATTTAAACATATAACATTGAATTTCCTCCTTCTTAAGTGTTTATTGTTAATGTTTCATTATACTTTTTTTGGAAAAATTGTACTTGGTGGTATACTTTGAATCTTTGACTTCCAGTAAATCACCTTTTGTTTTTCTACATTAACATATTTTGGTAGTTTATGGGAATCTTAATTTATAACCCTTCACTAAATGTTTACTTAGTTGGTAGGCCTGGATTTAAATCTACCTAATTACATGAGTTTGTACAAGTTTTTTAATCTTGTTAAGTGTTACTACTGTAACTAAAATGATACCTTAAAGATTGTTGAAAGAGTAAAGAGGACAACATAGTCCTATTCACATATTATCTGGTAATTCTTTGCTGCTGCTGTCATGATGATAATGATTTTATGTGTTTCATTTCTTTCCATTTTATTGTAAACTCCTTAAAGATCTGTTTCCCATATTCTTAGTACAGTATTTACTAAATATTTTAAGTTGAATTTTATAATTGAGAAAAAATAAAATTTATTATACAACCCACTTATAATATTGCCTTCTCACGAAAAGAAATGTTTTTAAGTAGTTTGAATACATGTTATTTATCTCTTTTCCTTTCTAAAAATACATGATAATAAAAAATGAATAAACGCATGAACTTACAGCAACTAAATGAAAAGCCATAAGCAAATAATAAATTTCAACCAAAATTAGAAGGTAACAGGAGGAATAATGGTAAGAGCCACCTAAAGCAAAAGGTATTGAATCGTAGAATCTTCATGCAGGGAATGTAGGCAAGCAATGTACTAAGCACTGTGATCTTCAGAGAAGCTAAGGTTGCATCCATACTATTTATAGCAGATAGGCTGGAATGCAAGCAAATATTCACCCTCTCAAATAGGAGGTTAGGTATTTGTTTTTCTGTACTAGAGAGTACTTTTACAGTTTTCTGTCATTTGAATCATACATCTGATAAAAGAATTATAAGATAATTGCGATACTATCTTAATCTTAAATAATCTTTAAAATTTTTAAATCTCCGGTCTTGAGAAATTAAAATACATGCAGGGTGCATCGGTGACAAACAAAAGACAATATAAGAGAACTAAATATAAATTCACAATCGAGAATTATATAATCTTGAAAATAGAGGTTTACAGAGTAGCTAGACCAGATTGGAGTAGGAAATTGATATTTAGCCATTTAACTACACATGGTATGTCTCTTTTTACGTGTTTTGTTTTTCTTTCTTTTTGGAGTTTTTTCTTTCCTGTGTTTGTTCTTTTTCTTTGCCACTTACATTATCTGCTAAATATCTTTTTGTCTGTCTTCTCCCTTAGATTTCTTTTTGGAAATCCTGATTTTTGACCAGATGGCAGTAACATTTGAAGATGTTACTATTACTTTTACTTTAGAGGAGTGGAAATTCCTGGATTCTTCCCAAAAATATCTCTACTGGGAGGTCATGTGGGAGAACTACATGAATGTTATATAAAGTTAAAATAGCTCAAAGGGAATAGACTTAGCTTTTTCTAGGAGCAGTTTTGTTGAGCATTTCAGTTCTTTATCTGGTGTTTGTTTTGAGGTGGTAGAATATTTTCAAAAATGCATTTTAAATCAGATGAAAAATAAAATTTGAGTGTCTCTTACCCAAAATGTTTGGGATCAGAAGTGTTTCAGATTTTGGAGTTTTTTTTAATTTGGAATACTTTACTACTTGAGCCTTAATCCACAATCTGAAATTTTTTGAGCATGTCAGCATTCAAAAAGTTCAGATTTCAAAGTTTTGAATTAGGGATGCTTGACCAAAAAAAAGGTAAAGTGAAACATTTTGTAAGACATGTAGAGTTATGTAATTGCCTAGATATTTACCTTTAAAGTCCGGATTTATGTACATGGTCAATTTTGTGAGATCCTAAATTTATTCTATTCATATTTTGTTCTATAACAAACTGCTTCAAATTTAATGCCTTAAAACAAACAATATTACTTTTTTATGCTTCCTGTGAGCTGACTGGATCTTCTATCATAGAGGAACTTGGTTGGGGCTGGATATTAAGATGAACTTAGTTATCCTGACTGATATGCTACCTGGCAATTGGCTCAGTATCCGTGGGGATAATAGGGATACAAGGACTACATGTCCCTCTTCAAACTAGCTACCCCAGGTGCACTTACATGATGGTGACCACAGGATTTTCAAAAGCAGCAAAAGAGAAGGTAGACACTTCTCCAGTTTCTGCTTATGACACTTTTGCTATTGTCCCCAGTGACAAAATTGGATATCCAAGCCTAGAGATAGTGTAGAAAGAGAACCCCTAAAAATAAAAAGAACATTAATGAAGCCTTTTTACCCCTCCCTGATCTTCACATTATTCTAGAGCAGGAAAATAGAAACTATGTACTTTATTTATTATAATAATGTCCAAAATAAAGTAATATAATTAAATTACAATGTTTTAGATATTTCAATGAAAGAATTGGCCTTACTGTCTTACTTCTAATAGTGCTTGGTAACTGGAGGCTCAAGATATGTTTGTGGAATGAATTAAGGAGTGAATAAATGAAATAAATACATCAGTTAACAAACTAAATTTCAGCCCTAGTGGAGTAGCTGAAGTTATAACCCTTCCTCTCTACTGCATTCTACACATACATTCCTATCATTCTGGAGCTCATTGATATAGATAATTGGAAATTTTTAAACACAAACTTTCTATCATCACTGAAATATCTGCTTATTTTTCTAGGAAACCTGAATGAGAGTTACAAACCATGAGAAATACTTAAATTCTTAGAATATGAAAATTTTCCTATCTGGCAAGGCTGGAGGAATGCTGGCATCAGATATATGAGAATCAAAACTGAAAGGAAACAATTCAAGAGGGAGATTCTAAAGATCCCTCCTGGTGTCAGGAATCTTAAATTTTCTCCACACAAGCACAGGCTATGAGAACTATGAACTGACTTTTAAGACAAAAATTCCAGTAATTTAAAATACAAAAAGCGTATACCTTGGCAGTCCTTAAACAAAAAGTAACCAAGACTGTGTTAGAGAAGTCTGTGTGAGTGATTCCCTGGTTTTCAAGGGGACCAATACCATGTTGGTATATGCAAGAAAAAATCTTACCATGGAAAAAAACAAGAAGTGTGTTGTTCAGCACTCATATCCCACTGGATAAAATACTCCAGAGTATACTGGGGAGTTGTGGCAAAATAACCTGCTGAAAGACTCTATGCAAGAGAAATACTGTGGATGTGAAGAAATTTAGTTTTGGAACTCAATAAGTTTTTCACAGGAAAAATGGTCTTGGAGATAATCTGTATCAGTATTCCATCAGCACATCATGCTTCTTGGAGAAATCAAATTTATACAAATATCCAAGAATCCACACAGGGAAAAAGCTGTATGGATGTGAGGAAGTTGGCATTAACTTCAGTCAGAGCACAGGAGTTCACTTTCATCAGAAAGTCTGTGCAAAGGAAACACATATCTGTAATGCATGTGGTAAGAGTTTTAGTCAGATCTGTCTTCACAATCATCAAAGATTCCACACACAAATGAAACCCGAGGACCTCAGTAAAAAATTATACTTCTCCTTCACAAGAGGCTTCACATAGGAGAGAAGACTTTTAAGTGTGATCAGTGCAGTAAGTGTTTTAGTTAGAGTTCCGTACTTCATGTTCATCAGAGATTCCACACAGGAGAAAACATTTAAGAGTGAGGAGTGTGTTAAGGGCTTCAGTCAGAGCTCAAATCTTTGAATTCATCAGTTAGTACATAGAAGTGAGAAGTCCTACAAATGTGATGACTGTGATAAGTGCTTTACCCAGCGCTCAAATCTTCAAGTTCATCAGAGAGTGCACACCAGAGAGAAGCCTTATAACTGTCACAGCTGTGGAAAGGACATTGGTCACAGCTCAGACCTTCACATGCACCAGAGGGTCCACACGGGAGCAACCCTACGCTTGTTGTGAATGTGGGAAGGGCTTCAGCAAGGGTTCAACGCTTCACACTGATCAGAGTACACACTGGTGAGAAACCCTATAAATGTGGGAGTGTGGAAAAGGATTCAGTCAGCGTTCCCATCTTCTCATTCATCACAGAGTGCATACTGGAGAAAATAACCCTATAAATGTGATGATTGTAGAAAAAGCTTTAGTCACAGCTCTAATCTTCACATCCATCAGAGGGACCGTACAGGACAGAAGCCTTATCCGTGTGTAAAGTGTGGTAAGAGTTTCAGTCATAGCTCATCTGTTCAGATTCATCAGAATCCATGAGGGAAAAAAGACTTACAAATGCCATGAATATTAAAGGGATTTTACCAGAATTCACATCTTCACAATAATCATGACGGAGAAACCTTATAAATCTTGGTCATTTAGTTAATAGCTTTAAACAAATCTTAACCTTTAATCTCAGTAAGTGCTGCTGGAAAAGAAAGCCTATAAAAAACAAGTAATGCCAAGCAACAATTACAGTTTCTCCTAACTCCCAATAAGAATAAATTTCTTCAAGAGATCATTAGGATTATTATATATTTAAGATTAAAGTAAAAAGGGCTAAAGGTGTAAGGAAAGTGGGAAGGGTAGGAGAAAGGTAATAAGGGAAAAGAAAAAATATGAGAAAATGGAAATGTTTGTAAATGGGGAGGGGAGGAGGGGGTGAAGGGAGGGCAGGGACAAGGGGAAAAAACAAGAACCAAGACCTGTCATGTAAAGGTACAAGATCCCAGTAATGAATAACTGTACTGTATAACTAAAATCTACCAATAAACTAAATTTTAAAAAAGTAGGGCCAGGGATTTAGCTCAGTGGTTCTGCTGCCTGCCTCACACGTGCAAGGACCCAAGTTCGATCCCCAGTACCAAAAAAAAGCCAAAGCCGGGCGTGGTGACACATGCCTGTAATCCTAGCACTCAGGAGGCTGAGGCAGGAGTATTGTGAGTTCGAGGCCAGCCTGGGCTACATAGTTCCAGGTCGGTCTCAAGTACATAGTGAGACCCTGTCTCAAAAAAAAAAAAAAAAAAAGATTAAAGTATATTTTATGTACTATGTGTATTATACATAATCATAAGAATAAAAATTAAGGAGAAAACTCATCTGTTTCATTCTAGTCTCTTTTTTTTCATTGTATTTTAAGATACATGAAATGATACAAAGTCTAACTATTTTCACAGACTTCAAAAACGATGAAGTGTTGGTTTGAATGGAGACCGCATGACTCTTTGAAACTGCATTTTTTAAAAACAGCATCTTTTAACTTCCATGGTGTCTTAGTCACTTGTCACTGAGACATAATAGCACTTGCAACTTAAGTTTGCTTTGGTTCGTGTTTTAGAATTTTCAGTCCTTTTGTGGTCAGTGTGGTGGAAAGGCCTTAAGAGAGGAAGGCTGTTCATGGTAGCCAAGAAGCAGAGAGAGAAGGGAGAAGCCAGGAAAGGAGATGTATCCTTCCAGGTCATGCCCCAGTTATCTGCGTCTTTTGACTAGACCTCACCTAACAGCAAAATCAGCTAAAACATCCTCATAATCCATCTAAACACAGTCTTTGGGGGCCATTTTAGATCTAAACCATAATACCTGTGAAGTCCCTAATGCACAATAGAAAAAGATGGAGCACAAAATTTTAAACTAGTAAATAATATTGTTCAAATACAGAAGAATTAACCATGAGACCAGTGGAATTCAATAGCTTATGCTGCAAAAGCCATCTAATAAAAGATAGGAAAACATTGTATGGACCTGTACCTAAGAACATAGTAGAGATGTTGCTTATGTCAATCAGAAAACTCAGAAATCATTCTTCTGTTGCAGAGGTTTGGCACTTGAGGTAATCATAATGCACTCATCCCATCTCTCTAGTTTTCCACATTTATTCATAGGCTCAGACACCATAACAAGAAGTAGATTTATATTCTTCAGGAACACTATAGAGAGCAGTTAATAGTGAATGCCACAAACTGAAGATAATTCATTGTTTCAGAATTGGAGATCTAAGCAGTAGAACTTAATCTCAACAGAACAGAATGTTAAGTAGAGTAAAATTTCTAAAAAAATACAGAAATAAGGACTTAAAGTAAATTTTAAATGCTGCATCAAAGTAATAAGGAAGAGGATATTGTGAAAAAGTGAACTGATCTTAATAGAAACAATGAAAAAGATGAAGAACAAGGTGATCCAACCATTAAGGATTAAGGAAGGTAAAAGCGCAGTTGGCTGTTGAATGCCCTTGACTGCCAGTAATACCAGATACAGTGTTTGAGAGAATGAGCTACTCAGGAAGCTGAGGCAGAAATATTACAAGTTTAAAGACAGTCTGGGCAACAGAGTGAGACCATGTCTCAAAAAACTGCATGCATGGTATATTGATAAGCGTTAAGGAGAAAAATAAGGAACTGAAAATGTGAGGTTGGTGGAGGGGAAGTTTGTAATTTTGGGTAGGTTGGTCAAGGATGGCCCCCTAATATTTCAGGAAAGACTTAAGGGAGCAAATGATCCATGGAGCTATCCAGGGAAAAAGAATTTCAGAGGAATCAGCTAGTGCAGTGGCTCTGAGATTAGCAAGGGGTGTATCTAGAATGAACCATGGCAAAGTAAGCAAGGAAAATAGAGAATGAGATTAAAGGTCTTACAAGTTGTAAGCACATTTGATTTTTGTTAATTAAAGTAAGACAGTGGAGGTTTTTAAGTGACATGAAAATTAGCAAGAACCAAAAGATATTTTAAAAGAGGGCTAGGGAGGTAGCTCAGTGTCTTGGGTTCAATCCCTACTACCAATTCATCATTCATTCATCAAATTAATTAGAATGTTAACATCCTTGAAAATAGTTTACCTGAACAGCATGGTATCTGAAAAATCTGGAGAACTCACTGGGGAAGGATCCAAGATATCTTTTGTTGATACTATGGAGTTGGGATAATCATTTGACCTCTCTGCATTTAGTCTTTGCTGCAAAAGAAAAGTTGAAATGAGTCCTCAGGCACCCTAAGCATTTGTCTCTGGAATAATAAAGTACTGTATTAATTTTCACAGCACACTGATTCTGAAAGTCTTCTGAGCATTTTAATGTCATTGCAATATTTTGAATTATTTTGCCTTTTAGTATATGAGATTTTATCCCTAGTTATTAATGTATATTGTTTATACAGATTAATGGATTCATTTAGACAGATAAAATACTTTAAATATTTCCCTCTCTCCACCTTAATTTCACATTTGGGGGGTGTTTCAATGTATATAATGCATTTTTAAATTGAGTTTATTGGTACACTTTAGGGATACAGTACAGTTACATTCATTGCTGGAATCTTGTACCTCTACATGACAGGTCTTGGTTCTCATTTTTTCCCCTTGTCCCTGCCCTCCCGTCACCCCCTCCTCCCTTCCCCATTTACCAACACTTTATTTCCATCTTTTCATTTTCTCACATTTTTTCTTTTCCCTTATTACCCTTTGCCTACCCATCTCACCTTCCCTGACGTTATGAAATGTATATAATGCATTTTGATTATATTTCACAGTTGCTTTGAGAGAGGTCCCATGAAGCTCATCCTGTAGTGATAAATCATATGGATTAGAAAGAGTCATGATTTTTTTTAAACACTCCCGGCACTTGAGAGTTGGAAGTAGGATTATGAGTTCAGGACAGACTAGACTACATAGTTCAAAGTTATATAAGTGAGACCCTGTCTCAAAAAAAAAAAAAAATATATATGAATACAATCAGCCGCAAATTCTGATTAACACTGATAATAAATGAACATTATTCATGACGAACACCATATTATAGACAACTATTTTTACTGTAGATTCCATAAATCCTTTGAGGAACTATCCCCTTCTATTTTTAATAATTATCTACATCAAATCTGAGGATATGAAAATAACTCATGGCTGGCCAGTCATAATGTGAAAGGTATGAGTATGTGACCCAAGCATAATTAATTAGAGTCTTTCTCTGGGATTGTTCCACAGACCTTTGAAAGATGCAGTTTTTTCCTTCAATTAGACTAACGTTAGGAGATGTACACCTATTTTGGCATGCAGAAAATTTTCTAATATATGGAAAGAACCAATTTGTAGAATAAACCCAAGCAGAGATGACACATTGTGGGATGGAGGGGGCACATCTAGTATTTTAAAGTTTCTAATGTGAATCTCTGAGGCTGTACTTCCTGAACACCTTTTTATAATCCCATGAACAGCTTTAATATCATTATTCCCTGTGCCAAGAGTCTTAACTAATATTTTCCATTTTATTATACATCAGTCAGAAGATAAATAAGGAAATACATCTGTAATATCTATATTTCCTTAGAGTGCAATGTAATAACTTATTTAGGGAAAATATTAGTAATTAATAGAAAATAAAAAACATGAGACAATTTGCTGGGAAATAATTATAGTTGGATAATGAGTTAATGTATAAGTCTAGCCATAATTTTTATTTTAAGTATCTTTATTTTATCATAAAAAGTTACCTAAGGAATTGTGGCTTTATTGGCATGGATACCACAATTTATCAAATAATTGTAGGATTGAAGATTCTAATAGAGAATCTGAAGAAAATATTATCAGTTATGTATTTATGGGTAACAAATAACTCAAAACTAACAGCTTTAACCAACAAGCTCTTATCACTTTTGAGTCAGGAATTTAGGTGTGGCTTAGACATTTCTGGTTTAGACTCTTACTAGGCTGCAGTTGAGGTGTTACCTGAGGGTGCAGTCATCTCAGTACTTTGAGATTCACTCAGCTGACTGTTCACAGATCTCGGGTCCTCATTGACTGATGGCTAGAGGTATCAGCTCCTTACTATGTGGCCTTGTCTACAGGGCACCACTCATATTATGGCAGCGAGCTTCCCTGTTGTTTTTCAGCGCATGATCTTTTAATTTATATCCCATCACTTCTGCTGTACAGTATGCAGTTCATTAGAGGAGAGTCACCAAATTCAGCCATGCTCAAGGCAAAAGCTACTGTCAAAATATAAATTATAATAAGATCTCTAAACTCACTAGGTTATATTTCTTTGAGAATTTTTGGTTATCAATAATGTTGGTCTGTACTTTTCTTTTTTCTTTTGGTTGTCTTTATCTGATTTGGTGCTACTGAGGTAATTCTGTGCTAAGAGGATGAGTTTGAAAGTTTTCCCTCCCTTCAAATCCTTGGAATAGTTTGAGGAAAACAGGCATTATCTCTTTAAAGCTCTGGTAAAATCCTACTATGAAGCCATGCAGCCCAAGGCTATTCCTTGTTAGCAAACTTTTTTTTAAATCATTCAATCATGTTACTTATTAGAATGTCCAATTTTTTTATGTCCTTGTGGTTTTTGTATCTAGAATGAATCAATTTCTAGGTTTTCTAATTTATTGTTGTTATTCATAATAGTTCCTAATTATCTTTTGTGTTTCTTTAGATGTAATGTTTCCTTTTTCATCTCTGATACTATTTCTTTGGGCCTTCTCTTTTTTTCTTGGTTAGCCTAGCTCAATTTTGTTGTTCAAAGTCAACGTTTTCTATTTTTCTCTATTTAGTTTATTTCTGGTCTTTGTTAATTCCTCTACTAATTTGGGGTTTTGTTTGTTCTTGC